TCCAATCCAGTGAATACACCCCCTGTTTTTAAGACATTCTGTTGACTATTCTACAGACCACTGTGCAACCGAGTTCTCTCTCTCTCTCTCTCTCTCTCTCTCTCTTTCTCTTTCTCTGATTAATTGTCCAGGATAAAAAATGTAGAAACAAAGCACACTTTATCCCAATACCAATAGGAAGCACATTTGAGCAGAAACCCCAGCAGAGCAGCAAGAGAACCACATGAGAAAACAAAACAATATTACATATTGATTAGCGAGGAAAGTGGAGTTTAATGGGGATAAAATTATTTGTGCAACAAGTTAACTGCCATAGAAGTTGCTGAGGTCACGGGATGAGACTTCCAGCTCAGCACTTCTCCAAACACGCTCTGCTTTTGTTTCCTTGTGGACTTGTGAATAAATAAAAGCTACTTGTGGTGAAATTCTTGATAAAATGCTGAATTATTTTGCCAAGATATGTTTTGGGGGGAATCAGCACTGTGCTGGCATTGGGATCTCTGCACGCAGTTAGCCCACCATGCAAAAAGTTGTAGCAGACCCATTTATTTGTGGAGTCCTGTAGCTCAGTGGTTAGAGCACTTGCCTCACAAGCGAGAGGACCTGGGTTCAATTCCCGGGCAGGGCGAAACGCTGGGCAAGTTTCCTTACTCCACATGCCTCTGTTTATCTAGCAGTAAGTAGGAGCCCGGTTGTCAGTCGATTGGTGGATTGCTTTTCCAGGGGTAATAATTCCTTCAAAAAAAATAATAATAATAAATTGGTCACTTCAATCCACAACTGTTTGTGGGACATCGCTGTGCGCAATTGGCTGCCACGTTTTGCCCACAAAATGTACAGTCAATTCACGTTACAGTATATTCTGTCAAGCACTTTGAGATGTCTCGAAGATGTGATAAGGCACTATATCAAATGCAAGGAATATAGGATGATTTTTTCCCTCTTAAAAGCCCAAACTGGACTTTGCCTCTACCACTTTACTTGGCAGGACATTCCATGTCCCAACATGTGTGAAAAAAAATCTCCTTTTGCTCTTCTTGTGACTATCTTGTATCTTGAAGCCTTTGACTTCACTAACTGTGGAAATGGTTATATAAATGCTCGTTATGAATGCAAGTTGTTGTAACTCAATTGTAAGCTATGAATTATTCAGCTCGAACTAAATTTCAGCATTGAAGTCCAGCAAATGTAGAAATTTTCTTAAAACTGGGAAAGTTAAACAGCAGAACAATAGGGCTTTACAGTGTCTTACATTCGTTGGGTGTTATTACAGATAATTAATTGTGACTGGGCTTTGTGATATCATTTTAATCTTTCCTTCAGTAATTGGCTGATGCAAAGTGCTTTTTATCAGAGACTAAGCTGCGTTGTGGAGTCCTGTAGCTCAGTGGTTAGAGCACTCGCTTTGCAAGCAAGAGACCTGAGTTCAATTCCAGGCAGGGCGAAACCTTGGGCAAGTTTCCTTACTCCACACGCCTAATAATAATCCCTCCAAAACCAAAAACAATAATAAATTGGTCATTTTCAATCTACGACTGTTTGTGGGACATTGCTGTGCGCAATTGGCTGCCGCGTTTGCCCACAAATATACAGTCAATTCACTTTACAGTGTGTTCTGTGAAGCGCTTTGGGACGTCCTCCCGACGTGAAAAGCGCTATATCAAATGCAAGGATTATTATTATTATTATTATTAGTTTATAAAGGGAAGAACTTGCCGTAGTTTTCCTTTAGCGCTTCGTGAACCCGACCAGCCTGACACATGGGGCTCATTCAACAGCTGGAAGAGGTTACGGGGGCATGTTCTCATTTAAGAAGGAGCTCGATCCTGCAATGGGAAAAGGCAGAAGAGTTGACGTTCAGCATTGATGAGATCAGATGGGTCCGTTGTCTTTTAAAGTGCCCAGGAGGATATCTCAAAACACTTCTCGAGATTGTTCTGTAGATTGTAAGGTGTCGTGACTGTGTATTTTATGGGTGAATACAGTGACTAGTTTGCACACAGTAAAATCCCACAAACAGCCATGAAGTGAGAGACTGATTTTATGCTGTGGCTTGCGTCTGTTGTCCAGGACACTGGGAGAAATAAACTTTCTTTTCGCATTGTGTCACAGGATAATAATAATAATAACAATAATAATAATAATCCTTGCATTTGATATAGCGCCTTGTCACATCTTCAAGACCTCCCGAAGCGCTTCATAGAATATACTGTAAAGTGTAGTGACTGTATATTTGTGGGCGGAATGTGGCAGCCAGTTGCGCACAGCAGGGTCCACAAACAGTCGTGGATTGAGTGACCAAATTATTATTGTTTTTTTCCTTGAGGGATTATTATTAGGAGTGTGGAGTAAGGAAACTTGCCCAAGGTTTCGCCCTGCTGGCAATCAAACCCAGGTCTCTCGCTTGTGAGCCGAGTGCTTTAAGCACTGAGCTACAGGACTTCACAAGGGATCTTTATAACGTCCACCTGGACAGGCACAGGTGAGATCTCATCCGAAAAGTGGCGACTGCTTCAATTCAGCACTAGCCGCAGTCCTGTACTGGAGTATCAGCCTGGACTACATACTGGATTGATGTGGATTCGGAACACACAAGCTTCTGACTCAGAGACAAGTGTTATCAACTGAACCATGGCTTGACAGCCACAGCGAAACTCACCACCTCATCCCTTTTGTCTCTGACTAATTGAGGAAGAGTGGTAAGGGACCTGGAAATCAGGTTAAAAGAATAAGAGGAAGTGGGTTAGAATCCGTCGGGAATCCAAAACAGCAAGATCTAACGCAACTTTGGGGCCTTTTGAAGGAGATTGAATTTACATGTTAATGGTAACGACTTTCCCTCAAACCCTCCACCTCGCTCATCTACAATCCTACCTTAAAAACGATCTCTTCAACCACGCCTACGGTCACCTCCCGCTCGCTATGCCTCCACCCCGCTTGGGGTCCGTCCACATCACCGTAAAGCGGCCAGACACGTTACTCTACGTGCAGGGTGCAGTATAAATCCAAGCTGTTTTGATAAAGCATTCTACCAGTCCCCCCCAACTCCCTACTCATACTCAGATGGAAACCTAGGCACACACGGATAAACTAAATGCCTGCGATGATTGGTTCCAGCTTTTCACTGAAGAACATAAATGGCTCAAAGCTCTTGACTTCACGAACCGCTAATGCATGGAAAGTATTTCAGTGAGTGCCCTTCCATCGTGCAGCAGAAGCAGATGTCAAAACAGTTTGTTCCATAATGGCATGTGAGAAAGCTGACTCAAGGTGTCAGCCTGGCTCTGTCGGAGACACTCTCTCCTCTGAGTCAGAAGGTTGTGTGTGCTCCGGTCCCCCGTTGGAGACTTTGAGCTCGCAGTGCAGTGTTGGGGAGAGAACATTGTATGGCTGGAGGTGCAGTCGTTTGGATGAGACGTTCAATCGAGAACCTGTCTGTGCCTGTTTAAGTGGATGTAAAAGAAATCGCAAGGCGCTGTTCAAAAAGAAAAGGGAGCTTCTCACAGTGTCCTGGCCAACAATACCTCAAATCAAATCTTCATTCACCAGTTCAAAGCTACATTGCTATATGCAAAACTGGCTGCCATGTTTGCCTATATATATATATATTGTATATAAAAAATATAGTCGCTTTGCTTGTGTTACGGTGGCCTGTAACCATACACATACAGGAAATATATAGCCTGACCTCTTCGGTGCAGATGTAGGATTGGAAATCGCTTGATGTAGATCATTATTCCGGGGAAGCTTCATTCATTGGATATTTTAGAATTCTATTAGAGCATTCATCAGATCATCTCAACGTTAATCTCGTGCTGATGACATTTTTAAATGTGTTTTCTGTCGCACAGTGATGAAGCTGTTGTTACAATTCCTGGCTGGGGGTACATTCTGAGATTGAGCTCTTTAACTGTATGAGAATTATTACCAGTGAGGGGTAATGCGGGATGACCAAAGAACTTGTAATACCATTACAATGCCTAGTAAGCCTTAGAAAAATGTTTTTTTTTCTAGATAATAGGGTAGCTATCAGGACTTTGGGTCACCCTGTAGTAATGTGGAGAGACTGGAGAAGCTGAGTCTATTTTCATTGCAGCAGAGAAGGTTGAGAGGGGACCTGATAGAGGTGTGCACAATGACAATAATAATAATCCTTGCATTTGATATGGCGCCTTATCAAGTCTCTGCGACCTCTCAAAATGCTTCACAGAATATACTGTGAAGTGAATTGACTGTATATTTTATGGGCGAAATACATAGGGGGTTTTGAGAGGACGAATTTATGAGGGGTTTTGAGAGGTTGACCCTGATGGGTTTCCCTGGGAAAGCAGGCGTTAATTTAGCTTCCCCTTGCAGTCCTGCCTAAGACCAGTAAACTCAGAGCGGACCGGGGATTCGAACCAGCGAGCTTCCGGTCATAGGCAATGCCTCTATTCACTGTACCGTTGGGGCTGCCCCAGCTTCAACTCAGTTATTATTGGGCCAGTTCTGAGCACGTGTTGACAGTTGTTTGCCAGTCAGTGCTATCAATGGCAACTTACATGGTTTTAGCTGGTTAGACTCCAGCAGTTACCCAAATGCACACTTCCCCCACAACAAGCCTTGGCTCTTGCCAACCTGCACCTAATACTTTCCGGAATTAGGTAAGCAGGATGCATCCCTCCATAGAGAGAGTGCGCATTCCATCCCAGCAATCTTTCTCTGGGAATTTCCACATGTAGGTGGGATCCGTGGAATTTTCAGTTTGGTTTGGATACCCTTAAGCACGGTGATGGGTTTCAGACGTGAATGTGTCAGACACCTGGCTGAGCAAAATAAAAATCTCCACTTGGTTGTGAAGCAAAACTGAAACATCAGGATGAGAGCACTTTTCCCAACGCGGAGTGTAAAGCTTGATCCAGGTGTAGCTCGTGCTCTCTGAGTCAGCCTCAGGCTCAACAAATGGCTGGACACTTAGTGATGCTTTTCAGGCTAAAGTTGTTGATTGATTTTTGGGACAGGTTTTCACCACCTATTCCAATGAGGACTACGACAGGCGGAATGATGACGTGGATCCCATGGCGGCATCGGCAGAATATGAGCTGGAAAAACGAGTGGAAAGACTGGATCTCTTCCCCGTGGAACTTGAAAAAGGTAAGTCACGAGATAAGAAGCTGTTGCTTCCCACAGCCCTGCACTGGATGACCAGCCTAGACCGTGAGCTCAAAGTCCCAACCTGGGACTTGAACACACATCCTTCTGACTCAGAGGCGAGAGAGCTACCTCCTGACCCACAACAACAGTAACAAATCGCATTTGTGTAGTGCCTTTCACGTCAGGGGGACATCCTAAGGTGCTGAATAGTCAGGGATCCGCACCCGAGCTGGTGGTTGGAATGAAGAGGGTTGGAGGGCCGGAAAGATAGGGGTAGGAGGGTGTTCGAAGGCACCATACAAGAGGAGGGTCTTGAGACAGGTCTTGAAGGAAACAAGGGAGGAGGCCAGGTGGAGGGACTGTGGGGTGGAGTTCCAGAGGATGGGGACAGAGTGGCTGATGGTCCGCCCGCCAATGGTTGAGTTGGATCCAAAGCCAGTATCCTACAAGCCAACTCTCTCATAGGCCAACAAGACCTGTGGCCTCTGAAGGCTGTATTCAATGATGACTAACACATTATAATTTTCACCCCAACAGCTATTGAGCTGTGAGTGCTACAGGCACTACACAAGTCACGCTAAGTAGATAGCTCGTGACATCACTGTGTTGGTTCCTTCCTAACATACTAGCCCAGAAGTAGCCAACACAAGCCTATCTGCCCCGCTAGTATTATGATTAATTTGATGGATCATAATTGGTACTCGGCGGTCAGATTTGTGCCTATAATTCCATCAGTCAGTACATAGTTGAGAGAGCATTGGACGAAAGATCTAAATGCATCCAATCTAGTCCAATCTAGGCCAAGGGTTTATTGCTTTTTGGGTAAGCATTTAAAGAGAAATGAGTGGGTGGGGTGGGAAGAGATAGGTCGGTTGGCTTTGGGAATGGGTGGATGGAGGGATATATGGATGTGCTATAATGTTTAAGATTCTATTTCATCGTGAGAACATAAGTGTGAGACTCACACTGTTTATAATCATCAGCAGAGCTCTACGATTGAATGCCAGGTTTTATTTATTTGAAACTTTGCCTCCTGCTGCTGTGTGTGATTATAAAGCCAGGTTGCCATGGCAGAGTGAGCAGAGACTTGGCAAGGGAGATAAACAGCACGATCATCAGTTAGCTCTGCGCACACGTGTTGTAAAATCATTTAGAGAAACAGCGCTGGTGAGAGAGAGCGAGAGAGAGAAGTCAGATCAGACAATAATAATAATAATCCTTGCATTTGACATAGCGCTTGATCACATCATTGAGATGTCTCAAAGGGCTTCACAGAATATAATGTGAAGTGGATCGACCGTGCGTTTTGTGGGAGAAATGTGGCAGCCAATTGCGCACAACAGTGTCCCACAAACAGTCGTGGAGTGAATGATGAAATTATTTATTTATTTATTTATGGGTGGGGCCAGGGGATTATTCCCCCGGAAAGTGATCTGCCAATCGACTAACAACCAGGTTCCTACCTGCCCGGGAATCAAACCCGAGTCCTCTCACTTATGAGGCAAAATTGCCAACCACTACGCTGGAGGACTCTAACCGAACATTTCCCTCTTTTGTCCCGTCTCTGAAGGACCACAACAAGTTCTTTAATATTTTGTACGCCAAACAAGTGATGTTTGGTGCATAAAATGCACAGTTGTTTTTCAATGCAACGGAGGTCTCTGTGTCATTTCCCACCTCGACAAAGCGTCAACCACGAAAGCCTCCCAAATCCCCCGTTGTCTTAGCCTTCAAACTATTGAACACACAGACACTGTGCTTCACAGTAAATCCTCGTCCTCCTAAATGTGAAAGGCACTGTATCAAATGCGAGGACAATTATGATCTTAACACGTTGCATCACGCAGTCTTTGGGAAAAAATTATTAAATTAAGTCCTAATGATAAGTGCAAGTTGCTGTTAATTTGGAAGCAGCTTTCACCATAATTCTTACCAACAACTACTTGCATTTATATAGCGCCCTTCAATCGGGATAGAGTCCCGGAGCGCTTGACAGTGGCGGAGTCTGACCCTGAGCGAGTGGGAGAGAGGGAGGGGGGAGGTGACCGAAAGCAAAAAAGGAAGGCCTTTTGGTGGGATTTGAAAGCATCTGACGGACACAGAATCGATGGGGAAGGGGTGGGAAATGGAGTAAAGGGTTGTGGGTGCAGGGGGAAGGGGGGGAGGTGGTGGGGGGTTTGTCGTATATCAACCGCTAAATACAATGATCTTTTGGTTGCATCTTTAAAACGGAAAATAATGAACAAATCTTAATGTCTAAACAATTGGCCATTGACGGATGCCACAGCCTCTTGAACAGACACGATTACATTCTTTCCATTTAAAAAAAGAAAGAAGAGAGACAGTATACCGTTTTACTTCCAACCCCCCAGCATGTTTATACTTCTCCTTCCCCTTCAGTCCATTGATTGCCCACCAGGAATTTGCTCAAGGTAACAAAAGCAGCGAGTGTTTAACTGCAATCACAATTAAGCCACGTATGGGAAAAGTTCACACACTGTCACTAGCAATATGCCAGTGAAACGTTCATCAACAACAACAAAATAACATTTATAGAGTGCCTTTCACGTCGGGAGGATGTCCCAAAGCGCTGAACAGTCAGGTGTCTGGGCCCGAGCATGGGGGAGGGGTGGTGCAGGGCTGAGGGAAGACAGAGAGGTGGGAGGGAGACCAAAGGCACAGTCGAAGAGGAGGGTCTTGAGACCGGCCTTGGAGGAGGCAAGGGAGGAAGCGAGGCAAATGGACCGTGGGTTGGAGTTCCAAATTGTGGGGGCAGAGAGACTGAAAGCCCGGCCACCGATGGTAGGGCGAGTCGGGTGGGAGACATGGACCAGGCCAGAGCCCGCTGAACGGAGGGAGCGGGCAAGTTGGTAGGGAGTCAGCAGGTCAAAGAGGTAGGAAGGGGCAAGGCCATGGATAGCCTTAAAGGTGAGGACGAGGATCTTGAACTCGATCCTCTGGGGGATGGGTTGTGAGTGATGGGGTCATGGAGCCTGGTGCGTGAGAGTACACGAGCTACAGAGTTTTGGATGATCTGCAGCTTGTGAAGGGAAGTGTTGGGAAGGCCGATGAGGAGGGAGTTCCCGTAATCGAGCCTTGATGTGACGAATGCGTGGCTGAAGGTTTCGGCAGCCTGAGGGGTGAGGCAGTGGCAGAGTCTGGCGATATTGCGGAGGTGGTGGTAGGCAGTGCCGGTCATGGCGGGGATGTGGGGGAGAAAGGACAGTTCAGGGTCAAACAAGACACCCAGGTTCCTGACTGGCTTAGTGAGGTTGAGTGTGCAGCCGTGGAGGCTGATGCTGCCAGCGCCTGTAGTGTGGAGGCGCTGGCGCGAGCCGATCAGAAGGGCCTCAGTCTTGCTGACGTTGAGTTGGAGAAAGTTGGCCCGCGTCCAGGACTTGATGTCGGACAGGCAGTCGGTCAGGACGCCAGTAATCCTGGAGTTGAGGGTGGAGGCAAAGAGATAGAGTTGGGTGTCATCCGCATACATGTGAAAATTTACCCCATGGCTGTGGATGATGTCACCAAGGGGGAGCATGTAGAGGGTGAAGAGGAGGGGACCGAGGACAGAGCACTGAGGAACACCACACGAGATGGTGCGTGCCTGGAGGAGAAGCCGTTTGCCGTGACGAAGTGAATATGATACAAATCAGTCATATATGAAAGTTATTTATTAGTCGGATGTTATATGATTAACGAATAACAAATATGCAAGTGCTGTAGTTAAATCTCCAACCGGCTCCAAGTGGGGACTGTTTAACCAGGACAGTCAGATGCTTTGAGATGTCCTCCCGACGTGAAAAACGCTGTGTAAATGTAAGTCCGTATTGTTGCATTGCAAATCTCTGCCTTTTACCCTCGCAGATGACGATGGTTTGGGCATTAGCATCATAGGAATGGGAGCCGGAGCGGACATGGGTTTGGAGAAATTGGGAATTTTCGTCAAGACAGTAACTGACGGAGGAGCGGCTCACCGGGATGGCAGGTACGGAGCTTATTAGATAGTCCTGAATCCCACCTAGCCGCAGATCGGAATTGGGCACTTGGGAATACAGCATGAAACATGAGCGATTGATTGCCAGACATCACAAGGCTTTTGCTACATGAAAAGCCACCGATGATCAAATATTTAAGAGCGCCCTTTGTAATTTGTTGATTTTATGGAGCCCCAATGATGAATACTTAACCAAATATTTGGTTTATGGTTAGATATCCTTCTCCCTCCCACCCCTTAGATGCCTGTGAAAAAGATTTGAAGTGACAGAATCCATTGGGTTAGATATTATCACAATGGAATTTCGGCCTATTGGATCTCAGCCTTCCTGAATCCCAACCAAAACTGGAGCAGAAAGGCATCATTGGAAAATTCATTGACGTCCTTCCTTCCTCCACCCCATCCCCATCTCTGTCCCCCAACCAAAAAGTCTGACTAAGTTGAGAAGCACTCTCACCTCTGAGTCAGAAGGTCCTGGGTTCAAGCCGCACACCAGGATTTTGAACTCACAGTCTAGGCTGACACTCCAATACAGTACCGGGGAGTGCTGCGTTGTCAGAGGTGCCATGAGATGGTAAACTGAGCTCCCCCTCTGGGTCTGTTCAGGTGGACATTGAGGATCCCAAGGCGTCACCCGAAAAAGGAAGGGAATTAATTTCTTTCTGTGTCCTGGCCAAGAATCCGCTCTGGATAAAATTGGTCACTTGCTTCATGGCTGTTTGTGGGGATGTTTGCTGTGTGTCAATTGATTGCTGCAATTCACTACAAAATACACAGTTCCTGCCCTTCAAAGTGAATCAATGGCCTGTAGCGCTCTGAAACATCAGCCTCCTGAAGTGAAAGGTGCTGTATCAAACACAAGGATTATCGTGTTATTACAGTTTTGATCATTCTGTAGAGGTAGTTTCTAAGTGGCTTTCAGTGATGGGTCAATCAGACCTAGAACAAAAAAATACAAAATGACATTTGTATAGTGCCTTTCACATCGGAAATCTTAACCAAATACTTGTGGAGTCCTGTAGCTTAGTGGTTAGAGCCCTCGCCTCTCACGCGAGAGACCTGGGTTCGATTCCTGGCAGGGCAAAATGTTGGGCAAGTTTCCTTACTCCACACACCTGATAATAATCCCTCAAGAAAAAAACAATAATAAATTGATCACTTCAATCCACAACTGTTTGTGGGACACTGCTGTGAAAGGCGCAATTGCATGCCGCGTTTCACTCACAAATATACAGTCAATTCATTTGAAGCTCTTTGAGACGTCTAGAAGACTTGAAAAGCGCTATATCAAATGCAAGGATTATTATTGTTATTATAGCAAGACACTACTACGTTACACTTGAATGGATGTTACTTTTCTCAGTTGCGCCAATGATTATAGGAACTATGCTTGTCTTTTACTGTCCGGCTGCATTCAATTTACAGGTCAACGCACATCCTGATCTTCTTTAGTTCCTTATTTCATACGTGGCCTAATAATTCCTTCAAAAAATAATATTAATAAATTAGTCATTCAATCCATGACTGTTTGTGGGACATTCCTGTGTGCAATTGGCTGCCCAAAAAAATATACAGTCAATTCACTTTACAGTCTATTCTCTGAAGTGCTTTGAGACATCTAGAAGACGTGATAAGGCGCTATATCAAATGCAAGGATTATTATTATTATACCAGTTGGTCTTTGCATCAATATCAAAGTGTTTGCAAATTGTCCAGTGGAGATATTTAACTACATTATTATGTGGATTCAGGTACTCTGATGACTAGACTTGGACATGACAATATAATATATAACAATATGCTAATATTTCATGATGCTAATAACATTATGACAATATATATTAATATATTAATAATTCAAGCCCGACATTGGGACTTGGATTTGCATAGTCTAAGATGACATCCCAATGCAGTGCTGGGGATGGGGAGTGGGGGTTTCATTGTTGGAGGTGTCATCCTTCGGATGAGACATTAAACCGAGGTCCCATCTCCCTGTTCAGGGTGGATCGACTATGAAATCCTTACTCTAGTGTTTAAATCCCTCCATGCCTTGGCACCCCAGTATCTCTCAACCTGCGTTCTCCTCACAGCACTACCTGCTGCCTCCGCTCTACTGGCTCCGGCCTCTTCCTTGTCCTTCGAATCCTCTGCTCCACCTTTGGCAGCCGTGCCTTCAGCCACTATGCCCCGAAGCTGTGGAGCTTCCTCCCTCAATCCATTGCCTCGCCCCCTCTTTCCCCATTTTCAGGTTGTGCCTGACAACCTTCCTCTTCAGCCATGGCTATGGTCACCTTCCTCCTCCCCCTCCCCCTGGCTCAGCCTTGGGCTCCGCCATTGTTAAGTGCTCTGGGGTACCGCCTGGCGTGGAGAGCGCTATATAAATGCAAGTTGTTGTTGTAGTGTAAGGTTAACATCTCCTTGACGTATTTGCAATATATCAAATGAAACGATTATCCTTATTATCAGGGAAGCTGATGGTTCAAATTATCTTTAATGTATAGTATGTAAATTGTAAACCTGACATAAATTTTACAGCAAGGCGATCACGTAACGGAGCTTTTATATCCGTTGTATAAACGTCAGCCCTTCTGTGTGTCCTGTACTGATGGCATGATTCTCAGCTGATGGCCAGAGTCAGGATTTACAGTCCAGTCAGGCCTAGGTGGGAGAATAGAGACTTTGGGACAGGTTTGCTCAACACTGTAGCTGTTAAAGATCCATCGACTCGATGATGGATGTAAACCTTTGAATTTCGTACTTCAGGATTTTAACGCATTTTAAGAATTTGTTTTAGTTTCTTAAAACACTGGCTGTCCCCATCTAAATAATCACCCCCACCCAGAAATCTGAATATTCTTAAGGTCAATAGCTTTTAGGTGCTACAACAGAACTTTATATTTAAGTAGTGTTTTCATATTAGAAGGACATCTCAAAATACTCCTCAGGATTTTACTGAAATGCGCAGCGACCATGTATTTTATAGATGACCTCAGCAGCCAATTTGCACACAGCAATGCCTCACAAACAGCCAATGGCATAGGGGATTGTTAGTGGGGACACCGGGAGAGAGCAACTCCCTTGTTTTCTTTTGTCTTTCTTTCCCCGCCCCCTTCCCTGCTTGTCCTTATAATCTGCTTGCTTCCAACATACCCCAGTTCTGATGAAAGGTCATTGACCTGAAAGGTTAACTAATTTTCTTCTCTCCATGGATGCTGCCTGACCTGCTGCGTGTCCCAGCGACTCCTGTGTTTATATGAGCAAAACTCCTTTCTCTTTTTGAGTAGTGTCAGAGTGACAAAACGGGTCTCGGATCACATACTATCGATTATGTTGGGATATCTCAAAGACGTGATAAGGCACTAATTCAAATGCAAGGATTATTATTAAGGATTATTATTATGTGTATTATTAGGTGAAGAAAGTAAATAGTTCACAAGAGAGGTTCAAATGAAGAGTGCCCTTCAGGCCATTTGATCTCATCCTTTCATGAACAATCACGTTGTCCAAGCTGGTGATTGGGGTTAGTGAAAGTGACTTGCTCTGTCAAAGAGCCGGCACTGACTCGATGGACTGAATGGCCTCCTTCTGTGCCGTAACATTCTATGAATCTATGAATCTATAAATTTCCTAAATTGAGTCCAGGGTCTTGGCCTCCTGTTCCAGGCATTAATTAATGTCTGGGTAAAGAAATACTTCCTGGTGTCTGTCTCTGAAATTGCTCTTTTGCAATCCTAAACCTATGTCCTCTTTTTCTGCTGTCTCGGCATACCTGAACATATCCTTCTGGAGTTTCTTTATCAGACTTATTGAGAGTCATTCAAAGGACATAATAAGCAGATCAGATTTTCAATTATTTTGTCATGTGCGTAGAGGGCAAAGGCATCCTGAATAATTCATCGTGTTAACTGTGAAGCACTTGTCTGAACATTCATAGGCACTGCATCAAACGCAAGGCTTATTATTCACAGTATTATTGGCAATAAAACTTGATTAGTTTTGAATAGGAAAATGAATTGGCGAGAAAAATATGTCTGGCCCGAAATTCCAGCTGGTCTTAGCCCGCAAGACTGAGTCAGCTCAGCATTTACGATAGACCAGAATTGTGGAAAATTCTTTTCAAAGCAGTCGGAATTTAGATATGTTTTTCCGCAGACTTTGAGCTGGATTTAAGAGCTTTGCACAGTTCTGCAATGTTTTAAACATTAAGAGAAAGTGGTCTCAGATCAAGTCTGAAGACATTCCTCTTCGACTGTGTCTAAGGTCACCTCTCGTTTGTGTCTGGCTTCGTGTCAAGCTCTGTCACTGTTAAGTGCTCTGAGATGCTACCCTGCATGAAAGGTGCCATATCAATTCAAGGTCTGGTGGTTGTTGTCTAGATAGCTAAGAGTAAGTGGCATTTCAGGCCTGTAACGGTTCAATGAAGCTCAATAAATTCTAGTATTATACTTATGTACAATGAAGGAAACAGCTCACAGCCAGGATGTGGCTTCAAGACCAAATATTTTACTCCCAACTCTTGTTTAATAAAGGAGGTGAGGCTATAAATAAATTAAACAGGAAAAGGAAGTGCTTAGTGCCCAGCAAAATAAGGGCTGTGGTTGTTTAGAATTTCTCCTTCTTGGTCCTCCATTTCTGCTTTGTTTCCAAACCTTTTTTATTCTGTGGTGGCTACATTTATTTGAGCGGTATTTAAGCAACAAAATCCACACGTCGAAACTTTGAGTGAATAGTTCAGCTCAGTTCAATGGGCGGAACATTGCACTGTCAAGAGGTGCCATGAAACATTAAAACCGAGGTCCTGTCTGCCTGTTCAGGTGGACATTAAAGATTCTAGGGCACTATATGAAAAGAGAAGAGAGTTTCTCCCAGTGTCCTGGCCAAATAAAATTGGTCACTCAATTCATGGCTGTTTTATGGGACATTGCTGTTGCAAGTGAGCGTTTGCCTGCAAAATACAGTCACTCAATTTCATAGCAAATTCCTGTGAAGTGCTTTGATGTGATAAGATGCTATACCAAATGCAAGGTTATATTTTGGCCCCTAACCTCAGGAACTTGTTGCCTGAATCCCTTCACCTCGCACCCTCTTTATCTATCTATAAATCCCACCTGATGACCTACCTCTTCGACTGAGTCTATAGTTAACAGCTCCTCCCTCCCCGTCCCACCCCCCGCCTCTTCCCTTGCTTGACATTGGACCCTGCCAATGTGCAGCAATCCCAGATGTTATCCCGTAGGAAGCCTGCGGTATGAATGCAAGCTGTTGTTGTCGTCATCCTCACGCAAGTTTGCAGGCAGCTCAGAAGGTCGGAAAGGAATGGAGGGGTTTGGAACTGGCTATGAAGGAAGAGGCTGTGAGCCTTTCCCAACACCTCCTGTCTGGCTGAGAACCACTGATGATCAGCTGGCACATTGCCACCAGAGCAATGCTTTGTTTTGCCAGTGGGATGACAGGCTCTGGACAGGAAGGGTCGCTATTCACAGAAGTACCCAAAGCCCCGTGTCCGTTAGCACCACTCCACTGTCCTTTCAGCGCCTTGGACCGTCCTCCCAACATGAAAAACGCTATACAAATGTAATCTTGTTGTTGTTGTTGTCCTCCTGCTCGTTCAGGGGATTCAGGGTGAAAACTGTCCCCAATGATATCTGTTTTTCTTGAAGCTCTTGCCTGCTACGTTTTCGGAAGCTGCTTGTGGAATACGTGTTCTGCTGTTTCCTCCCAGTGCCCGCCTCCCCTCGCTGACATTGCCTGCCCAGCAAAACATTTCCTTCCAGTGACCTTGATGAAATCTTCACCGGCCTTAACCCTTACACGGCAGCTCCACAGACACAGTAACAATCTGTTTGTTGAGACAACGTCTTATCCACATCAATAGACACGTCACAGGGTTTACTGCAACATGTAGGAACTGTGTACCGTGAACTCCTGATAACTTGACCCTGACTTTACTTGTCACTACCATTCAAGTCATCGTGCTGTCAATATCCCGGCCGCATTTATTCATGCATTAATACATGAATAAATAAAAATAATTTGGTCACTCAAACCACGACTGTTTGTGGGACGCTGCTGTGCACAATTGGCTGCCGCGTTTTGCCCACAAAATACACAGTCAATCCACTTTACAGTATCTTCTGTGACGCAATTTGAGATGTCTCAAAGACGTGAAAAGGCTCTATATCAAATACAAGGATTATTATTGTTATTGTTATGCCTAATTGGCCATTCTGGATAACTCGTCACTGACCCCTTTTCCCTTGGAATGACTTGGAATCAGGAGTTTACTATATATTGTAGGTTGAACATAACACAGCAATGCCCTACAACCGGCCATGAAGTGAATGCTTGATTTTTATTTGGGGATTTGTTGGCACGGACACAGGGAGACAAAACTCCCTTCTTTTTTCGATCAGTGCCATGGGATCTTTAACTCCCACCTGAACAGGCACAGACAGGAACTCGGTTGAACATCTCATCCGAAGGACGGCACCTATGACAATGCAGCACATCCCCAGCGCTGTCAATCTGGACTGTGAGTTTAAACTTCCGATGCGAGGGATTGAGCACACATAACAACGGTGACTTAAATCCTACAGAAAACAGAAACGAACTGACAATCCAGTCTAATGCAATTGACTTATTCATGCCTTCATCACCTCCAGGCTCGACCATGCTTATCAGCCTTCCCAACTCCTCCCTCCACAGGCTGCAGATAATCCAGAACTCTGCAGCCCGTGTCCTCTCCTGCACCAAACTCTGTGACCCCATCTCTCCCATTTTTGCCCTTCTCCACTGGCTCCCTGTCCTTCAGAGGATCCAGTTCAAGATCCTGGTCCTCACCTACAAAGCCCTCCATGGCCTCACCCCACCCTATCTCTGTGACCCTTCCAACCCACCTGCGCCCTCCGCTCAGCCGGCTCTGGCCTGCTCCATATCCCCCGACCCACCCGCCCCCTCCTTAGCCTCCTTCAAGTCCCGCCTCAAAACCCTCCTCTTCAACATGCCATCGGTCACCCCCCTTCCCCTCCCTTCTCTCCCCCCCCCCCCCCCCGACCCCAGCTTGGGTCTGAAATGCTGTACACTATCCAGCGCCTTGGGACGTCCTCCCGACGTGAAAGGCTCTATACAAATTTAATCTTTTTATTGTTGTTGTTGACATTTACAAAGGGCGTTGCACATCAGAAGGACACCTCAAAGAGCTTCACACTACTGGCCTACATCTGAGCTGGGGGTGGGGTGGGAGCTGCAGAGGGTGGGGAGAGGAAAGATGACCAAAAGAGGTGAGTCTGGAAACTTGACTTTGAACCTAACTTGCTCTGGTATAATTTCTCTCCTCCAGAATCCAAGTGAACGACCTAATAGTGGAGGTCGATGGGACCAGTCTGGTGGGTGTGACCCAAAGTTTTGCAGCCACTGTGCTTCGGAACACAAAGGGGACAGTCAGGTGAGAATAATTTGGAACAAAACCTCGGGAAATGAGAAATACGTATAAATGATATGTCGTGTACAGCAACGCTTTGTGGTGCAATCGTTCAGAGGCCAGTAGCTCAGTGTTTAGAGCACTCGCCTCATAAGCGAGAGACCTGGGTTTAATTGTCGGGCAGGACAAAAGATTGGGCAAGTCTCCTTACTTCACACGGCTCTGTTTACCTAGCAGTAAATAGGAACGTGGTTGTTAGTCGATTGGCGGATTGCTTTTCCTGGGATAAGAATCCCTTCAAAAATAATAATAATGATAATGTGGCCATTTACTCATGGCTGTTTGTGGGACACTGCTGTGCGCAATTGGCTTGTGCATTTCGCCCACAAAATACACTGTCAATTCACTTTACAGTATATTCTGTGAAGCGCTTTGAGATGTCTCAAAGAAGTGATAAGGCGCTACATCAAATGTAAGCATTATCATCATTATAAGACATTTACTCACCAAAACAACCCAGAAAGCCGCCCAGGCTTTAACAGGAATTTGTTGTGATTTTGCCTGTGCAACACACAGTTGCTTAGCAATGGGGTAAGCACCACAGGGGCAAAAGCTCAGAGCAGGAGAACAATTACAGGCACAGGATCTCGTTGAATTAAATTCATGTTGCCAAATGTAAAATTAATTTTGGCTCATTTTCTTAATGCTCTGCCTTGCCCTACTCCTTGGATCTGTGGCAGTTTTGTCAGTGTGTCCTGATCATTCACGAGTGCCTTCACCACACGTAGCACTGTGTGTTGCTGAGATATCAAGGCAAGAGGTTGTTAAAGTGTCAAAATGTAGATGGCCATCAACATCCACATGACAGCCTATACTTTAAAGTGCAGCAAATTGGAAAGAGAACGACAGCAGGCAAGTAAACAGGCAGTTAATGTTGGATAAGCTGCGGCAAGCTTACCAGACAGTCGCTCAATAGAAAGTTGTGCAATCTTAGCTAGTTGAACCCCAGCAGTTTCCTTCATGTCCATTCTTGGTTCTTTCCAACCTGCCCCTAATAATAATAATAATATTCCTTACATTTGATATAGTGCTTTATCACATCTTTCAAAGCACTTCACAGAATATACAGTGGGTGAAACACGGCAACCAATTGCACACGGCAGTGTCCCACACATATTCTGCAGAATACATCCTTCCAGAGAGAGAGAGAGAGACAGAGAGAATGTGTGTGCACTATATTGCAGTCATGGTGGAAATTTCCATGCATAGGTCAGATATATATCTGGAAGTCTCGATCTAGTTCGGATCCTTTTAAGCATGTCGATTGGTTTCAGCACAAGTCTGACAAACACCACACCCCACCCACCCACCCCACTAAAAAAAATTTGTGCTTAATAATGGTGAGAGAGCATCTCTGCAGGTCAAGAGGAGGTTAAACAAAACACTTCCTGTTACAGCCGGGTGCAAACAGCATTTTCTGAGTGTGATGAGGAAGTGCAACAACCAGCATATGGCGGTACAGTACTTCCAGAAAGTGTATTTTAAACAAATAAGGTACATGAGGCCGGGCTATTTTTCCACTTATTTATTATTAAAATCCATCACGTCTGAAGCAGGACTCTGCTCCAGGCTTCTGTTTCAAGCTTTTTGCTGTGGCTTAAAATAGGACTTGTAAATAATTGATGGGAAGATTTCAAACGAATGACAAATGTTGCAAGAACAGCTGCCAAGAAGGTTTAGGTTGAACGGCAGGTCTGTTTGGGTGCATTCGTTTCCTAATTCGGTCCTTAAATAATAAAACAAAATAATAATAGTGGTCATTTCAATCCATGACCATTTGTGGGACGTTGCTGTGCGCAATTGGCTGCCGCGTTTCGCCAAATAAACAGTCGATTCACTTTACAGTATATTCTGTGAAGTACTTTGAGACGCCTCGAAGACGTGCTAAGGCACTATATAAAATGAAAGGCTTATTATTATTACCCCCAGCTCGGGTGCTAATCTATAACTGTCCAGCACCTGGGGACGTTTTCCCGATGTGAAAGGTGTTACATAAATGCAATTTGTTGCTGTTGTTGAAATCCCACGTCTCACTACGGAACTTGGAGCTCACAGTCTCGGCTGACACTCGAATACAGTGCTGGGAATGATTGTGCTGTAATCATGATTGTTGGACATGACGTCCTAAAGATGGAAGGTTAAACCCCAGTCCTGATTGGGATTCAGAGAATTTCCTCTGAGTGGGGAATCCAGAACAAAGGGGCATAATCTTAAAATTAGAGCTAGGCCATTTCAGAGTAAAATTAGGAGGCAGTGTTTCATCCAAAGGGTAGTGGAAATTTGGAACTCTCTTCTCCAAAAGGCTGTGGATTATGGCTGGATCCATTCATATCTTCAAGGCTGCGGTGGATAGCTATTTATTAGGTCAGGGTATTAAGGGATACAGGGCAAAGGGCAGGTAATTGGACTTGAGGACCAGATCAGCCGTGATCTTATAGTATGGCGGAACAGGCTCGAGGGGCTGAATGGCCTACTCCTGTTCCTATGTTTCTATGATTCAAACGAGCAAGCTCTTGCCCTGATCATTGTAAATTTATTCCTGGTCTTCCTGGAAAGAAAGCTTGAAGCTCACATCACTTACAGAACTAACTTAACCCGTTCTGGTGTTCAGCAAGTTTACACTGGTTCAGACCACATCTCCAGTCTGGATGCTAGAGGAAAGCACCTATAACTAAACAATTAAGCGTCATCGTGTCAGTGAAACTTTAATGGTGGAGACCAAATGTCTCCTGTGAAAAGAAGGTAGGGTTCCAACTCAGTGAGGGCAGCGCTCTGAGACGCTACCCTCCGTGAAGGGCACTGTATATTCTCCCACAAAATACCCAGTCATTACACTTTACAGTATATTCCATGGGACCCGATGGCCTGTAGCAGTTGGCCATTTTGAAATACCGATGGAGGGCAAATTATGGAATTTTTTTCATGGCGGGGCAGGGGAGGTGTAATAAATATCAGGGGGCCACAGGATGATAATAATAATCATTGCATTTGATGTAGTGCCTTATCACATCTTCTAGATGTCTCAAAGCACTTCATAGAATATACCGGAAAATGAATTGAGTGTACATTTTATGGGTGAAACGCGGCAGCCAATTGTGCACAGCAGCGTCCCGCAAACAGTCATGGAATTCTTACCCGCAATTCTTACCCCCGGAAAAGTGATCCGCCAGTCAACTAACCACCGGGTTCCTACTTACTGCTAGGTAAACAGAGTGTGGAGTAAGGAAACTTGCCCAACATTTTGCCCCGCCCGGGAATCGAACCCAGGTCTCTCGCTTGCAAGGCAAGTGCTCTAACCACTGAGCTGCAGATTCCTTCAAGGGTGCATTCTAAACGCATTCTAAGCTGTGCTGATGTGTAAGAGGAAGCGAGTGAGGAGGCAACATTTCAAGGCTAATCCAGTGGATTCTGCCTTCTGGTGACCCAGAAAATATGGTGTAAAACGGAAAGGGGTTAAAAGAAAAAAGGCTAAAATTAGCAAATAAAAGACTATTGTATTTTGGGTTTTAAATCCTTTAAGGGCGGCCCCTTGGCCAAACAGACACAGCCGATTAATGTGCTGAGCTGCGGAAAAACACACAAGTAAAGTTCATCTCAGGTCAGGTTCGGAATCTTTTGACTCGGTCAGGCCTGTGTATGAATCTTTTATCCATCCGGGGCTGCTCCAGCAGACACTTATTTGTTCCAGTTGATGAGATAATTGTGCAATAAGGCAGAATGATGTACTGTTTGCAGGGATGAAGCCCAGGGGTGGCCACTTGCATTACTGCACATTGTACATTTTCAACACTTGGTCTTTTACCCTACATGTGTCAAGGGTTTATTTCAACCTTCCATACTGGCTCGAGAGTTGGAGAGTGCATCCATGGATAAACTCAATTTATTCATGGAGGCGCTCTCCACCTCACTGAGCCAGTACAGATCCTTGGTGTCTTGTCTGACCCTCAATTGTCTTTTAAACCCCACATCTGTGCCATGGCCCTTTCTGTCTTACCCCACCTCCATAACATTGCTTTCCTTTGCCACTTTGTGGAGTCCTGCAGCTCACTGGTTAGAGCACTCGCTTTGCAAGCGAGAGACCTGAGTTCAATTCCAGGCAGAGGGCGAAACCTTGGGCAAGTTTCCTTACTCCACACAGAGCCTAATAATAAACCCTCCAAAACCAAAAACAATAATAAATTGGTCATTTTCAATCTACGACTGTTTGTGAGACATTGCTGTGCGCAATTGGCTGCCGCATTCTCCCACAAATATACAGTCAATTCACTTTACAGTGTGTTCTGTGAAGCGTTTTGGGACGTCCTCCCGACGTGAAAAGCGCTATATCAAATGTAAGGATTATTATTATTATTATCTCTGCCTTCAGGCTTCCGAGACCATCATTAGGTCTAGGCTTGACTATGCTAACTTTCTGCTCACCGGACTTTCCAACTTTTCCCTCCACAAGCTGCAGATTATTCAGAACTCTGCAGTTCGTGTCCTCTCCCACACTAAGCTGGTCTCCCCCATCCTTATAATAATAATAATAATAATCCTTGCATTTGATATAGCGCTTTTCACGTCGGGAGGACGTCCCAAAGCGCTTCATAGAACACACTGTAAAGTGAATTGACTGTATATTTGTGGGCGAACGCGGCAGCCAATTGCGCACAGCAATGTCCCACAAACGGTCGTCGATTGAAAATGACCAATTTAATTATTGTTTTTAGTTTTGGAGGGATTATTATTAGGCGTGTGGAGTAAGGAAACTTGCCCAAGGTTTCACCCTACCTGGAATTGAACTCAGGTCTCTCGCTTGCAAAGCGAGTGCTCTAACCACTGAGCTACAGGACTCCACTCCTTGTCCTTCACTGGCTCTCCATCCTCCAGAGGAGCAAATTCAAGATCCTCATCAAGTGCTCCATGATCTTGCTCCCCCCTTCCTCTGTGACCTACTAAAATTTACCAACCTATCTGTCCACTCCCTCCGCTCAGCAGGCTCTGGCTTGCTTCACATCCTCCGCCTGGCCCGCCCCACCATTGGAGTGTGGGCCTTCAGCCACTCTGCCCCCACCCTCTGAAACTCCATCCCACAGTCCCTCCGCCTAGCCCTCTCACTTGTCTCCTTCAAGACCTGTCTCAAGACCCTCTTGTTCAACCATGCCTCGGTCACCATTCTAACCCTACCATGCCCGCCCTCCACCCCTCCTGATCCCAACCACCAGCTCAGATGCAGATCCCTGACTGTCCAGCTCCTTGGGACGTCCTCCTGACGTGAAAGGAGCAATAGAAATCTGACTGACGAATCAGTCAGTCAGCAGTCCTTTGATGGCATGTGACATGTTTTCCAGGTTTCTGATCGGAAGAGAGAAACCAGGTGAAACCAGCGAGGTGGCTCAGCTGATTCGGCAAACGCTGGAGCAGGAGCGATGGCAGAGGGAGATGATGGAGCAGCACTATGGCCAATACCCCGATGAGGACGAAGAGGTAAGAAGGCCTTTTAAGGGGTTAAAAAAAATTGCGGAGTTTCTTAAAACCCTTATTACAACGAGCAGGTGGTGCCCATTCCTCTCCAAGCAAGTGGGCTCGCTCTTCTATCGGATGACCAAACAGTCGTGATAACTATAATAATCCTTAATAATAATCCTTGCATTTGATATAGCGCTTTTCACGTCGGGAGGACGTCCCAAAGCGCTTCACAGAACACACTGTAAAGTGAATTGACTGTATATTTGTGAGCGAACGCGGCAGCCAATTGCGCATAGCAATGTCCCACAAACAGTCGTAGATTGAAAATGACCAATTTATTATTATTGTTTTGGTTTTTGGAGGGATTATTATTAGGCGTGTGGAGTAACTATCCTGTTTATCTGAAAACAAAACAGAAGTATCATCATTTCTTTGAGATTTATTAGACATTGTAATGGTATCAAGACTTTTTGGGCATCCTGTTGATCCCCCGAAAATTCTGCAACTTTTAGTCGCTAGGGCTACTGATTGATTTATTTTTAATTTAAAATTTATTTCTCAATAGGGATGCTTTTTAGAGAGATAAGCAGATACTTGGTACTAAAGCGATTAAAGGCTGTGGCAAAAGGGCAAGGAATTGGGATTAAAAAAAGATCTGCCAAGATCTCATAAACTGGTGGAACAGGCTCGATGGGCTGAATGGCCTACCCCTGTTCCTCTTTCCTCCTGTTCCTGTGAAAGGCTGCAAATGTTACCTCTCGATATCTTCTTAGGAGCTTTCTTTGCACACTAATGAATCTACTGCGGATGAGATGTTAAACCAAGGCCCCGGTACCTGTATAGGTGCATGTTGAAGATCCCGTGGCACTATTTGAAAAGTCAAAGGAGTTTCTCACAGTGTTCTGGGCAACAATCCAACCAGATAAAATAGGTTGTTCACTTCATGGCTGTTTGTGGGACGTTGCTGTTTGCAAATTGGCTGCCACTTTTGTCTACAAAACATCCAGTCACTAGGTTTACAGTAAAATCCTGTGAAGCACTTTCAGATGTTCTCCCCGTGTGAAAATCTTGTATAATACACCAGAATTACTCCCCTCCCCCACACTGAATTTGGTCCACATATTTATAGAGCGGACTTGAAGTTATTTTTGGAAATAGTACAGTACCCTGGAGAATAATAAAAGTCTAAATGGGAAAAAAATGCCCTAGTTTCTTTTTAATTGACGGATAGCATTGCGTTGTGTTGGTTAGGGATATGAAGACTGCTAATTCCATTTTGTGTTCTGAACTGCATTTAGGATTTGGAGTTATTCTCGAATAACTCCAACTCAGCCAGTGATATCTACAACTGCAATAAAAATAATAGCAACAGCGATTTGTCTATCAAGGTTTGTTAGACTTGGTGTGAATTGGTGGGTTTGAAGGCAGTGCGTGGTGTGAGCTGCTCACTTGTTCTCTCCACTAACTTCTATCAGCTGCTTATGTACTTTCAACATAACAGGCAGAAAGGGTTGGACAAGAGTCACAAACCAGCCTAACAGCTAAGAGCTCCACTTAGTAAACTATGAAAGTGCCTCTCAAACCAGTGGGTAATGTTCCTGAGCTAATCATTGACCATAACACTCATTCTATTACTCTGTTCCCCTGGCACAGTGGTAGCAATCTCTCCTCTGAGTCAGAAGGTTGTGGGTTCAAGCCCCAAGCCGGGACATGTAATCACATAGTCTAAGCTAACAGAGCTGCTGTCCTTCAGATGAGACGTTACACAGAGGTCCGATCTGCCTGTTCAGGTGCATGTTAAAGATCCCACAGCACTATTAGAAAAGAGTAGGGAGTTTCTCCTGGAGTCCTGACCAACAATCCCCCAAATAATAAAATTGATCATTCACTTCATGGCATGTTTGTGGGTCATTGCTGTGTGCAAACTGGCTGTCATAAAATACACAGTCAAAAACACTTTATAGTATACCCTGTGAAGTGCCTTAAGAGGTCTCGACGGAGTGATAAGCCTATCATTATTATGATTATTCTGTTCCACGGTTCCTAAGGTTAGGGACATTTTCAGGAGTATTCAAGAGCTCTTCATTCCCCAATTGTATCAATTATATATTTACACTGGCAGCTATTTGTTGCCTTCCTTCCAGAGTGCTGTATCCTTGTGAAAATAATGATAATAATAATAATCCTTGCAATGTCCTCTCCCCACCCTTCAACACTGTGCCCATTATTTTTCATCCGGTTTGTTTGTGCTGTCACCTAGTGACAAGAGAGAGGAAGTTCTTAAGTAATAATAATAATAATAATCCTTGCATTTGATATGGAACTTTATCACATCTTGAAGACGTCTCAAAGCGCTCAAATGACAAACTGCCAGGGGGAGTAGGGTGGGGGGGAAGAGTGGAAATTCACAGACTTTCCTCAACCCATGTCACCCCCCTCAACTGCAAAGTTGTAACAGAGAGAGGAAGTTCTTAAGTAATAATAATAATAATAATAATCCTTGCATTTGATATGGAACCACCATTTTCTCTAATCGCACGATGCTTTGCTCTCTCTCTCTCTTTCTTTCTTTCTTTCTCTCACTCAGCCCTTTCCCCTGTTGCTCTGGAATTATTCCAAACACTGGGCTGGATTGTGGGCCTGTTTCCAAAATGGTCTGCTCTTTGGCGATGGGTAGCTGGGGCTAGAGAGGGCTCAAACTACTCCCACCCCCTCTCTCCCCCTACAGCTCTCTAAGGGAGCTGCGAGTCAAGTACCCCGACCAGCCCCAACTAATGGCACCTGTGGGCCACTCTTGCCCCTCTCCCAACTTGTCGGTTGCGCCCGCTCCATCAACAACAATACATTTGTATAGGGCCTTGAACGTCAGGAGGATATCCCTCGCAGGCTGCTCATCAGGGAAGGACCGCCAATGGAACTCAGAGTCTGTGTGGTGGGGAGATGGAGGGGGCGGCCATCTTTGAAGCTGGCACAGAGACTACTTAAAAGGGATCGAGCATTTAGCTCTCACCTCCCCCCTTCTCCCTTCCCCCCCCCAACATCCCGAAGAATATTTTTACCCGCCACCTATGTGTCTGCTTTGTTTTTCTTGTGAGTGATTTTGGATACGAGTTGGGGGTGTGTGGGGGTGGGGGGTGAGGAGGAGGAAACTCTCTGTTAATAGAATAGCGTTGTTGCCCCAGCAGACTGGAGAGTACGCGACAGACGAGGAGGAAGAGGAGATGAGCCCCATGTTCGCCAACAATGATGTGGCCATCGAGGTTTTTGACCTAGGGGAGAATGAGGACATGCTGTCGCCCATTGAAATGGACCCTGAAAAACTAGTGCACAAGTTCAAGGAGGTAGGCTGACTGACTCCTCCCCTAAACAGTGGCCGACAAGTCAATACACTTTCCAGCAACATCCTGCGAAGCGGTGTAGCAAAGCCCTCCATGGTCTTGTTCCTCCCTGTGACCTGATCGCTCATCGACCTCACCCACATCGACCTGTCCACTCCCTCAGCTCAGTAGGCACCGGCCTGCTCCACTTCCCCCACCCGGCCCGGCCCACCATCGGAGGTCGGGCCTTCAGCCTCTCTGCCCCTATCCTTTGGAACTCCATCCCACAACCCTTCGTCTCGCTCCCTCTCTGGCCTCCTTCAAGGCACGTCTCAAGACCCTCCTCTTCGAACGTGCTTTCAGTCACCCTCGTACCTCTACCCTCCCTGACCTCCATCTTTCCTAATCCAAATCCCCAGCTCGGGTCCAAATCCCTGATTGTCTAGCACCTTGGGACAACCTCCCGATGTGAAAGGCGTGTAAATGTAATCTGTTATTGTTGTTAAACCTGTGTTCTGTTGTTCCTCTGCCTTGGCTTATCTCAAAATAATGATTTAGAAAACACATGGCAAAAAAAACACATGATTATTTATTAATAATTTTTTGGGGGACTTTTCAGCTACAAATCAAACACGCAGTAACAGAGGCGGAGATTCAACAGCTGAAACGAAAGGTACATTTACCGATATTCCAATCAACACGCGGAGATCATGAGACTTAAGTGGCATCTATTTTGTCTCAGATAGTTGGCATATAATAATAATAATAATAATAATCCTTGCATTTGATATAGCACCTTATCACACCTTTGAGACATCTCAAAGTGCTTCGCAGAATTTACTGTAAAGTGAATTGACTGTGTATTATGTGGGCCAAACGCAGCAGCCAATTGCGCACAGCAGCGTCCCACAAACAGTCGTGGATTGAGTAACCAAATTATTATTTTTTTTAAAAAAATTAAGGATTTATTACTCCATATGAAGCCAAATATAAATGCCATGTTCTATGGGTTGTAATGACTGTACGTGTTCACTCTATTTGTACATGGGAATCTCTCAGTCATATGTGATGGAAGTATTTATTTTATTAGCGACTAGAACAGGTTACCAGAAAGGGTAGTTGAGGCTAGGACTTAGTTAAGGAACAGCTCAATGTGCTGTGTTGGGAGGACAGTGGGGCGGGTATTCTAGGAGGATGAGATCAGATGGGCTGAAAGGCCAGCTTCATCCTGTGATCTTGCGATTTATCTACCAAAAAACAATGTACATTTATACAGCGCTTGTCACGTTGGGGACGTGGGTGGGGGGGAAGTCTCAAGCGCTTTACACAGCTGACTGGGAGAGGAAATTTTTCAGACACTGGATTTATGAAATGCTTGATTGTCGGGACCCTTTGTTAATTTCATTGATGGATTGCTTTCTGGAGGTAATAAATAATCTCTTCGAAACAAATATGATAATAATAATAATAATCTGTTCAATCGTTGTATAATGTGAACCATTTTGAGACTTCTCAACGTCGCGATAAGGAGTTAGATCAAACGCAAGGATTATTATAATTCTCCTCTTGTATTTCCTCTGCTCAGCTCCACTCAACAGAACAGGAGAAGATGCGCTGGCGAATGGAAAAGGCTCAGCTGGAGCAAAGCGTGGAGGAGAACAAGGAGCGGATGGAGAAGCTGGAGAGTTACTGGATGGAAGCTCAGACGCTCTGCCAGGCCGTGGACGAGCATCTGAAGGAGACACAGGCTCAGTACCAGGCCCTGGAGAGGAAGTACAGCAAAGCGAAACGTCTGATCAAAGAGTACCAGCAAAAGTAAGGAGGATCTTGGCTCCAATTGTATGTTTTCCGTTGAGTTGCAGAAAAGCAGTAGACCCACAACAACGACAACGACGTGGAGTCCTGTAGCTCAGTGGTTAGAGCACTCGCTTTGCAAGCGAGAGACCTGAGTTCAATTCCAGACAGGGCGAAACCTTGGGCAAGTTTCCTTACTCCACACGCCTAATAATAATCCCTCCAAAAATCCAAAAACAATAATAAATTGGTCATTTTCAATCTACGACTGTTTGTGGGACATTGCTGTGCGCAATTGGCTGCCGCGTTCGCCCACAAATATACAGTCAATTCACTTTACAGTGTGTTCTGTGAAGCGCTTTGGGACGTCCTCCTGACGTGAAAAGCGCTATATCAAATGCAAGGATTATTATTATATTATTATTATTATTATGCAGCCGTCCCCTCACGCAGGGTGGTGCCCTTGAGTGTTTGACAGTGGCGGAGCATGACCCCGAGCTGGAGGGGAGGTGACCGTAGGTACGGTCAAATAGGAAGGTCTTCAGGTGTGACCTGAAGACGGGAATGTAAAGAGTAGCCCAGTAACTCAGGGCAAATTCTCTCTCAGTCACCTCTTAGTAATAATAAATATTAATAATAGTAATAATAATAATCCTGGTATTTGATATAGGCTGCCACTCCCAGTCAGCTGTGTGACGGTGCTTTGAGATGTCCTCCCTATGTGAAAGGCGACCCATAAATATAAATCACTATTATAATAATAATAATCCTTGCATTTGATATAGTACCTTATTACGTTGTTGAGACGTCTCAAAGCACTTCACGGAAAATACTGAAAGGATTGACTGTATATTTGTGGGCAAAATGCGGCAGCGAATTGCGCACAGCAGTGTCCCACAAATAGTCGTTGAGAAGTCTCAAAGCACTTCGCAAAATAACAACAACTTTGCACTTGTATAGCGCCCTCCATGCACGGTAGAGTCTCAGAGCGCTTAGTATATTGTCATATTATTGTAAAGTGGATCGACCATGCATTTTTGGGCGAACACGGCAGCCAAACAGCTTCGGTAACGTTCTAACCTTGGCTTTTTGATCACTTCTTCAGGGAAATAGAATTTCTGAAGAAAGAAACAGCACAAAGGAGAACCTTAGAAGAAACTGAGAATTTACATAAGGAAGAGATTGATAAGCTTCAGACCATGGTATGTGTGATGGGAATCTATTCACCATTGTAAAAAAAAAAACAGTTTGATGCTGCGATGGGAGAATTGTGGGGTGACAGAGGGGAATTTTGGAAGGATGAAATCAGATGGGCCAAAGGGCTTTGTTCAACAGAACTTATGAGCTTGTGAATGGGTTTCGGAAAGGCTTGTCCACTGGAGGGCATTCTTCCCTGTGAGATGCAGTTACTGGCTGGAGCTTCACGCCTATTTGATGGGTTTTGTCGATTCCATTCAGTTCCTCACAGAAGCCCAGCGCAGCCCAGCCGACCAGATGCCAACTTGTGGGCCAACTGTTTGCACGGAATCTCTTTGAGAGTTCTTTTTTCTTTAGCCTTCAAAACACAACAACTTCATCACAACAGAACTTCTCCGAAACCCTTTTAATATTGAACGCCTAGCTCTAAAAATAATAATGATAATAATAATCTTTGCATTTGATATGGTGCCTTATCACATCTTCGAGACGTCACAAAGCGCTTCACAGAATAAATTGTAAAGTGAATTGACTACATTTTTGTGGGTGAAACATGGTAGCCAACTGCGCCCGGCAGTGTCCCACAAACAGTCATGGATTGAGTGACCAATTTATTTTTTTAAGGAATTATTACACCGATATATTCTCATATCAATATGATAATAATAATCCTCAGGTTTGATACGGAGCCTTTCATGTTGGGAGGACGTCAAAACCCAAATTGGCTGCTGTGTTTGCCTTTCTGCCTTTGCAGGCGAACGCAGCAGCCAGTTTGCGAATTGAGATGTCCTCCCGACGTGAAAGGATCAATATCAAGTCCTCCCAATTTACTCTTCACGGTAAGATCTGCGAAGCGCTTTGGGACATTTCGACGTGGAAGGCAAGGATTCTCAGTGTTACGCCTTTGTTTTTTGACAGGTTACGGACCTGGAGACGAGTCTACAATCAATGAAGAATTCCAACACAGTTTAATGGAGTTGACTTTCCATCCCCTGCGCTTTAAGATCAAACCTTCTCATTAAAGGAGCAACAAAGCCTTGAAAAAGTAAATGACATTCACCTGTTTGTCTGGCCTCTGGAAAGTGCATACCAGGCTGTTTTTTTGCACTCCGTGCAAGTGATTGTGTTTAAAGAATTTTTACATTACTCCTCTTCTGCATAACAATTTGCCAAGTCACTTTTGAACCGATGGCGAAAACCAAGAGTCCTCTCAGAAAAATTGGAACGGGCTACAGTGGATGTGTCTGCACTAAATCAGACTCGCTTTTCTTCCCCCTCCCACCCCCACCCCCCACCCCACTTACCCCCACGCACAATTCATGCGCGCAATTTTCCATTCTATTTATTCAGCAACTGAGGGTCAAGAAAATTTAAATGTCTTTGACAAACATCGAGGGAGTAAATGTCACGAAGGTCAATCAATCGCGTTTTTTCTTCTCTTATCCTAAGACTTTGGTGACTGATATCAAACAGAGTACCAAGTAATGTAACTTGCTGTTAACCATGAAAAAGGATCAGCGTATTATACACAGCAGTCACCACCATCACCAACCTCCCCCATACACACACCCTGCATCTCCACACACACACTGCATTCAACAAGCCTTTACTCTTCCAAGCTGCACCTAATACTTTCCGGGATTAAGTGAGCACAGTGCGTCCCTCCGTGATGGGGAGAGATAGAGAGAGAACACGCCCCCATTCCAGACAAATGGAAATTTCCACGCCTTAGTGGAGTTCTCAAACAGTTTGGTTTGGATGCTCTTAAGCACGAAGATAGGTTTCAGATCCACGGCCGACCCGACAACAAAAATAAAGACTTTCTCCCAACAGAAATCCAAGGCAGGTTAAATTAACTGCGTATCTTGTATTATTACGTGTGCGATTTGTCTTTGCAAAGCAGAGTCAACTTTTTTGGGGGTGAGCATTGGGAGGTGATGGTTGGGTAAACCGTTTTTTAAAATCTATTAATGAAAAGCATCTGTTGGTGATAAACACTGAATATCTTCACCCAGTGGAACTGTGCTGATTTACAGCGGGGTGAAGGCGGGGGAAGCTTTTCGAAAGGGGTTCCAATGAGTTCTTATCCGTGAAACATGGAATGGAGTGAAACCGAATCGATAGTACAGGACTTGGAATGATAAATTGAAATGAAATTTCATCTGATGGATCATTGAATTATCAATGATAATTGATAATCAATTATCAATTTAGTTTAATAGTAAAACTATTTTAAAGTTTTACTATTAGTTTAAAAGATACTGAAAATATTGTGTTGATGGTATTTGACTTGTTTCTTTTCTTTCGTCACCCCCTTTTATCTCTGCTCTTCTTATGCCACATCCACACATCCTTCTCAGGCTCCGAGGGGCTGTTTTATCATTCATTTCCTAACCATTAATCCATTGTGCCAATACTTGGTCGATCTTCTCACTACGTGGCGTAGTGCGTTGTCGCGCAAAAAAGAAAACAAAAAAAATCGCTGGGTGTTTGTGTTAGTTGTGTAGCTATAGCCTGTGGTAACTGTAGCATAAAGTTGTAAAGAGGTCCAAAAAAAATGCAAAAAAAACCCAAACAAATGCACACTGTATAAAAAAGGCTGTTGCAAAGTCCGATCGGTTTCGAGAGACGTTTTATTAACAAACAGATCACCTAATGCCGTCATCCACACAAGGCAGTGGGTTGGAAATTCAAGGAGTAGACTCCTCATGTTGTTTCCTACACCGAATATTTTTTTCCAGAATGACACGCGACTCATTTCGACTCTTTTTTGTCATAGGTTTATGTTCCGGTGTCACACCCCCATGTCTGTTTCTCATGTCCCCTCAGCAGACAGCACCGGTGTCAGAGGTTCCAGAATGTGTACACATCTCAATGGTCTGACCATCCGACACTTTGGCTGCATAATGGGGAAGGCAGGGCTAGCTGTGGGACATCCTCCCGACGTGAGAGCTTGTTTATATAAATGCAGTTTATTGTTGGCAGTACACATTGCCTGATTCCTAATTCCCAGAGCAGTTCAATGGCCTCGTGTGGAACCATCCAAGTGTATTGGATCCTCCTTCAGACCAATGAGGCACAGACTACACTGCAGTACACCCATGGCACATCACACAGAGGAGCGCAGAGAAGGGCCTTCTTGCTGTTATCGTGGGAGGTGTTGTGCGCTATTTGTTCAGCTGCTGAGGTGCTGGGCAGTTGGGCATAGCACAGGTTCCTGCAGTCTGAATGCCAATTCCTCTGAAATAATGGACATTTTGTGGAGTCCTGTAGCTCAATGGTTAGAGCACTTGCCTCGCAAGTGGGTTGGGCAAATTTCTTTACTCCACACGCCTCTGTTTACCGAGCAGTAAGCAGTAACCTGATTGTTAGTCAATTGAAGGATCGTTTTTCTGGGAGTAATAATTCCTTCAAAAAAAAATAATTTGGTCACTGTTTGTGGGACTCTGCTGTGTGCAATTGGCTATCACGTTTTGCCCACAAAATATACAGTCAATTCACTTTACAGTATATTCTGTGAAGAGCTTTGAGACTTTATTGTCTTGAAGACATGATGAGGCGCAGTATCAAATACAAGGATTATTATTGTTTGCTGAGACGAATCTATAGCTTACATACGTGCACTCCCACTAAGACGTACGTTCTGATGCCCAGCCCTGTTCTAGGTGCGTGCGGGAGGGCTTCCTCTGTCTGGACACTTGTTCCACACTCACATCAGTTCAAGATTGTTTGCTGTGTTCGGAGGTTGTGAGTTGACTTCCAACAGCTGCCTCCCACTTGCACTCGTCAAGTTCCAGGATCAGCTAGAGTACATGTCGTCCACAAAGTCCTATCACCGCCATTTCTTTTACACACACAGTGCACTGACCAACAACTCATACGTGGAAGAATGATGGTAATTGTATTTAGAAGTGCTTAATCGTATTCAGTACAAATGGTTAACTGTATTTAGACGTCCAGAGGATCAGTGTGCACATGTGTGTTTGCGTGTGTATGAGTGTGTGAGTGAGTGTGTGTGTGTGTGAGTGCGTGTGTGTGAGTGTGTGCATGTGTGTGTGAGTGACCGTGTGTGAGTGAGCGTGTGTGTGTGTCCGTGTGTGTGAGTGTGTGCATTTGAATGTGTATGCGTGTGTGTGAGTATGAGTGTGTGTGTGAGTGTGCGCGTGTGTGCGTATGTGAGAATGGGTGAGTGTGTGAGTGAGTGTGTGTCTGTGAGTCTGTGAGTGTGCATGTGTGAGTGATCGTGTGTGTGTGTGTATCCGTGTGTGAGTGTGTTTATGTGAATATGTGAGTGTGTGTGCATGTGTGCATGTGTGAGTGTATATGCGTGTGTGAATGTATGTGTGTGAGTATGAGTGTGTGTTTGAGTGTCTGTGTGTGAGTGGGTGTGTGTGTATGTGAGTGTCTGCGCGTGTGTATGCAAGTGCGTATGCGTGTGTGAGTGTGTGCTTGTGTGAGTGTGTATGCGTGTGTGAGTGAATGTGTGTGCATGTGTGAGTATGTGTGTGCGCGTGTATGAGTGTGTGTGAGTGAGCGTGTGTGTCCGTGTGTGAGTGTATGCATGTGTGTGTGAGTGCGTGTGTGTGTATGTGTGTGTGTACGTGTGTGTGCGTATGTGAGAGTGGGTGTGTATGTGTGAGTGTGCATGTGAGTGTGTGTGCGTGAGTGAATGTGTGCATGAGTTTGTGTGTGTGCGTGTGAGTATGTGTGAGTGCACGTGTGTGTGTGTGTATGTGTGTGAGTATGAGTGTGTGTTTGAGTGTGCCCGTGTGTGTGCGTCTGCGTGTGTGAGAGTGGTGTGTGTGTGTGAGTGAGTGTGTGTGCATGTGTGAGTATGTGTGTGCGCTGTATGAGTGTGTGTGAGTGAGCGTGTGTGTCCGTGTGTGAGTGTATGCATGTCTGAGTGCGTGTGTGTGTATGTGCGTGTGTACACGTGTGTGTGTATGTGAGAGTGGGTGTGTATGTGTGAGTGTGTGCGTGTGAGTGCATGAGTGTGTAAGTGAGTGTGTGCGTGTGTGTGCATGTGTGTGTGTGTGCATGTGTGTGAGTGTGTGTGCGTGTGTGAGTGAATGTGTGCATGAGTGTGTGTGTGCGTGAGTATGTGTCAGTGCAAGTGAGTGTATGTGTGTGTATGTGTATGAGTGTGTGTTTGAGTGTGCCCGTGTGTGTGCGTCTGCGTGTGTGAGAGTGGTGTGTGTGTGTGAGTGAGTGTGTGTGAATGTGTGAGTATGTGTGTGCGCGTGTATGAATGTGTGTGAGTGAGCATGTGTGTCCGTGTGTGAGTGTATGCATGTGTGTGTGAGTGCGTGTGTGAGTGTGTGTACGTGTGTGTGTACGTGTGTGAGAGTGGGTGTGTGTGAGTGTGTGCGTGTGAGTGCATGAGTGTGTAAGTGAGTGTGTGTGTACGTGTGTGTGCATGTGTGTGAGTGTGTGTGCGTGACTGCGTGTGTGTGAATGTGTGCATGAGTGTGTGTGAGTGTGCGTGTGAGTATGTGTGAGTGCACGTGAGTGTGTGAGTGAGTGTGTGTATGTGTGTGAGTATGAGTGTGTGTTTGAGTGTGCCCGTGTGTGTGCGTCTGCGTGTGTGAGTGGTGTGTGTGTGTGAGTGAGTGTGTGTGAGTGAGTGTGTGTGAGTGTGCATATGTGAGGGTGTGTGTATGTGAGTGTGTGTCCGTGTGAGTGCATGAGTGTGTGAGTGAGTGTATGTGAGTGTGTGTGAGTGAATGTGTGTGTGAGTGTGTGTGAGTGTGTATGCGAGTGTGTGAGTATCAGTGTGTTTGAGTGTGCCTGTGTGTGAGTGTCTGTGTGTGTGAGTGTGGGTGTGTGCGTGTGTGTGTGTATGTGAGTGCGTGTGAGTTGAGTGTGTGTGTGAGTATGCGTGTGTGAGGTGTGTGTGTGTGTGCGTGTGTGAGGCGTGTGCGTGTGTTAGTGTCTGTCCTTGTGTGAATGTGTGTGTGCGTGAGTGAGTGTGTGCAGGTGTGAGTGCGTGTGGTGTGAGTGTGCGCGTGTGCGAGTGTGTGTTGTGTGTGTGTGTGCATGTGTGAGTGTGTGCATGTGTGCG